ATAATTTAGGGGGGCTTTAAAATATTTTAGGGGGGGCTACATCCCCCCTAAAATAGGCCTAGTGACGCCACTGCTTCTGAGTAAACTGACACCCAGTGTTGGTGTTAATTTAGTGTTGATTTCCTCAGTGTTGTCTCAACACTGGGCAGTGTTAAATAAGCTTCACCCACTGTTAAGTCTTATATACAGTAACACTTAAACAATGTTATATGACACCATGCAGTGTTGAAAGACACACTGTGAAAAGCCCCGCCCTCTTCCACCTCATGTCAGACCGACCAGTGTTTTCACAGCAAGGCATGCTGGGTAATCTTGTAGAAATGATGTTTGTTTGTTTATGACTATTAAAGAAGTTCATGAGTGTAAAAATGAGTTGTTCTGGTTAGTTTTCTTGTTCAGTTTTATCAAGTTGTTCAAGTTTAAGTTTGTGTTATTGGTTTAGTGAGAGCTACTTCCTGGTGTGTGAAGTTCGACTCCATTAATGCAACACTGCCAAGAGTTTGATTTTAACTCTGATTGTTGAATTTACACTCTCAGATTTATGGTGTTTTGACACCTTGTGGCGTCTGTTAACCTTTTTAACACCCTAATTTAATTTGTTAATAATAATACATTGCTGTTACTTTTAACACTGTATTTTAACACTGTTGAAATGTAAATGTGACACCCAGGATTGTTGAATAGCGAGTGTGGACACATATAGACACTTTGTTGGTGTTGAAATTAACACTGTGGGTGTTAAATTAACACTGTGGCTGTTAAATTAACACTGTGACTGTTAAAGTAAAACTGTGGCTGTTAAGTTAAAACTAGCATTGTTGCTGTGTACAACCATGTAAGCCCAGTAAAGGTAACCTGGACCCCCTCCAGGCTCAGACCAGATCCACTATAAAACCTGAAGCCCGTTCTCTGCCTCAGCATGGCGTAACTCATCGGTGGGGTTTTACTGGACCTGGCTGCAGAGGCGAGCTGTCAGTCGTGCACGAGGAGCTCTGCAGGTCCTGAAGTGTTGCAAACACAAACAGAACAAACCGGCGCTCTGCATCACGCAGCAGCTCGCACTGAAAGACGCTCTGGAGCCTCGTGAATCAGAACGGACTCCGGGCCTCGGAAAGATTTGTTCCCACATATCGTATTTTATTTTCATCTTTTGGCTCTGTATGTAATAAACTGTATAGGTAGAAAATAAACAGCAGTGCTGGCTTTGTACAGGACGCTCCGCTGGGAGCCAGGATGGGAAGAGGAGCCGCAGCGCCGAGCCAAAGAAATAAATCCCTGCCAAGAGCTGGGATCACCTGGAGCGGCTCTGCGAGGAGATCCTCTGCTTTCTGTTAAACGTCACCCACAGAGTCCAGGTCTGTCTGGACGGCTYGGCCTCCCGGTGGTGATCCGGTCCTCACCGTCGCTCCGAGGAGGAAGCTCCTGAACAGCCACCCCCAAGCCCCAAAGGAGAGGGTGGGATTTCAGGTCGGCTACATGTTCTGCCATCTGTTCTGCTGCAACTTAAAAGACTTCAGGAACGGGCAGGACTGAAGGAGGTGCAGGGGGGGGCGGGGGGTTAATCTGTGAGGGACCACATGGGG